TTTTAAGGAGTTATGTAACCTATGGAGAATTAAGTTGTAAAGTACCAAGTGGTTTTTAGCTTTACTCTTCCAGATACTTAGAACTAACCATCCCTGTATTCTGCACATAATTTATATCGTCTTGTCTTCTAGGTCCCGATGTTCGGCAAGATAAACCTATAACAGGGGAACAGATAGAGTTATTTGCTAACAAACTTAGTGAGCAATGGAAGACTTTGGCTCCTTACTTGGAAATTAAAGACTCTGAAATGAGGCAGATTGAGAGTGACAGTGAAGACATGAAGATGAGGGCCAAGCAGCTCCTTGTTGCCTGGCAAGATCAAGAAGGAGCTCATGCAACAACGGATAATCTGATTAGCGCACTAAACAAATCTGGATTAAGTGACCTTGCAGAAAGTCTAACTAATGACACTGAGACAAATAGTTAGCTTGCTTTCTTTCCTTTGTTTTTTTATTAAACTGTGATAAGATTTTGTTACCAAGCAACATTTGATAAGAGGTCCACTGGTTTTGGTAAACAATAAACACTTTTATAACAGCTGTTGTACAGTTGGCTCAAGAACCACAGAACAGACATTGGAGGGGGGGCCAATGAAAAATGATCTCAGTATCACAGACTACTTTTTGTAAGTATTTTTTTAATGAAGTTAATCACTATTGAATGAGTATGTTACATTCCTATCCCAAATTGGTTTCCTGTGTGTTGTTCCTTATCAAATTTATCCTGAGATCCCAGAATGACACTTCTGAAACCTTAGGACTGTTCTCACTCTCAAGCTAGAAAGCAGAGAGTCGGCAAACAATCTGTTAAAGCGTTCTGCTGGCACTCTGACATGCTCACTATAGCAGCAAGGGTTCAAACCGGCAACCAGCAGGTTGCAGAGCCTAAACTATTTACTGTTTGGCCAATACAGAAAATATTTACCAACCTCTAACTTTAAATGAAGTGGAGTCTAAGACCCAACTACTCCATTAGCTTTACAAAAATCACTTGGCCCCTCAAGTCCTTAAACACCCTGTCAGTTCAAGTGAAATGTCTGTGAAAGTGCCCAGCAGGCAGCAGAGCATGTGCAGTCCTGGCTAAAGGTAAGACTGTCATCTAGTCTGTTCCCATACAGCATCTGTGGGGTGCTAACATTTCATCACTGATGAAGGGCTACTGGGCACAAACTTACTAGGTAAGTGTTCTTGCTTGAACCTCACTCCACTACCTAGTGAAGCAAGGACCACAGCTCTAGCCTCCAAAGGTCCTCTGAGTGCATTAAGCAAATAAAGGCACATGAAGGAATTAGAAGGGAGGGGATTGTTTTTTTTTTTTTTTTTCGCCTCATCTCCCTTACATTCAAGGCTGTATTCTAAAATACTTAAATCGTCCTTATTTAAAACACTGGTAGAAATCCAATTTCTACTTTAAAGAATGTCTTTGGAATGTCTTTTTAGAGCAAATAAACTATAACCAAACTTTTGGTAATGATATAGTTTTTAAGTTTTTAATACAGTCTAAAAACATGGCTTTTTACATATTTCTAAGCCTATTTCACCTTGTTTAAGTACGAAAACTCAGGTCTGAATTAATTCTTTCTACAACTGTTTTAGCATCCCAGGGGTCATAATATAAACACACGGTCACAGAGTTGCTGCTCCTCGCTCCGTGTTTGCTCCTCCACTCTGCGGAATCCCTAAAGTGCTGACCCCACAGTGTTAACAGATTATTCTGTAGAAATCTTAGGCAACAACATACTTTACAGAGCAGTAAAACATATGGTCTAAGATGTCATGATATTCTCCAATTAGGTAATATCCAATCCTTCATTCTTTCCTTAACTATCAGTCAAGGTTTCTGACATATGTAAAGATTACGAGCAACTGGCTAATCAGAATAGGTTAGTAGACTGATCTTACTCAGATACTCTTGGTAATGTATACCTTAATTTTAAAAATCATTAATACTAAATTTAGAGATGGACATACAGACTTAGGGAAAGAAAACAGAAACAACAAATGAGTAAGGGATTGAAACTGAATTCAGTGTCCAATTTCATATTTCTTTTGAGATAACAAGCTAAGAAGACACCTTGTATTTTAAATGGATGCTTAAGATTATTAGCAATGTGCAGAATTGTGTTGAATTCATCTGACTCTTCAGTCAAGCTCTAACACTAAGAAGACTGGTCAAAAGTCATTAATCCCTCTTTATTATTATCAAATATTCTCATTTTCTAAAAATAAGCAACCAGAGCTTGTTGACATATGATTACTACAAAACCAATGCAAAATTAAATATATAAACCATAGTACATTACAGACACAATAATAAGTGTATAATCAAATGTATTCTTATTGATCACAATTTATTGTAAAGTCATGAAAAGCCAGCAACAGTCAGTCTGGACAAATACTTGATTGCACCCAGTTGATGGGATGTGGACAGCAGCACTGAGTTACACGATGAGAGCAACACTTCCTTTTCCACCTTCCTAGAAAAATATTGGTTAGATAAGGCAAATGACAGGCAGCTACTGAATATTAACCATGCAAGAACAAACAGGTGTGCAATAAACATCACTGCTAAATCTTGAGCTGGAAGGGCAAAGGGGAAAATGGACTTCAGCTAGGAATTTGTAAGAAACACGCTTTTAAAGACTGTCATTCAGCTACCATTTTACAGGGTAGCACCCAAATGTAATTTTGTGTAGTCTCTTTAAGAAACAGGCCTGGTTCTGTTCTTGGTTCCCTTTGGAGCTCAAGATTATAGAAATGATAACAAAAAAAATTTATATCACACCTAGGCATAAATAGCTAAATTGAAGATTACTGTTCATTTTCTTCTTCCATTATTTCAACTCTTCGAGGCCCATAAAGTAGAACATAAGCAATGTGCCAGTCTCCACCACCAGACAGCCGCAGAATATCTTCTGGTGTTACAATGCTGACCTTATCATCGTCAAACTTGATCCATTCATCTAAATTAAGAAGATAGCACACAGTTATGTTTAGAGATCTAGTGCAGAAGAAACAAATGTGATGTGCAGCACTACATCTGACTACCAATAGCTCTCCAAGTGTGCCCCTAGGGACCATGTAGGTTCAAGATGATGTCAAATACTTCCATGACATCCCAGCTATTTCAACACTACTTTTAAATGCATGATCTGCCTTTCTACCCTTACTGTCACCAGCGTGCAGTTTTCCAGAAGCTTCATAATGTACACCAATACAAGTCTAAGCACAGACAGATATGAAAGGGATTAGGGATGTAGCTTGTTTCAGAGCACTTGCTCAGAGTATGCAAACTATCTTTGTGATTTAATCCTAGTTTCAAAACAACCAAAAACCCTCAAAATATTAGAATCTAGCCATGTTAATCTGGACAATAGGAAAACAAAATGTAAATGCATACCACTTCATGATGTTTTTGCTTGGGCAGTAGTTTTTAGGCTTTCTCAGCTACAACTACTGATGTTATAAATTTGAAAGTAAAAGAAAAGCATACCTTGGAGGCCTTGAGACCATAACTAGGAACTGGGGATTTACTCAGTGAGACCTGACACACATGAGACCCTGAGCTCCACTCCCAAGGCAGCAGCTATGCATGCTGCTTCCTGTCTATAACACTACAGTTGAGGGGCTCCCTGACAAGGTCTATCTAGCTCTGGGCTCAGTAAGAAACTGTCAAGACAGTGGTAAAGATGACACCCAACATGGGCCTCTGGCCTATATACAAACACTCACACACCTGAATACAAACTACAGGCAATTATTTTTCATTTTAATTTTTAAAAGGCATGAAAAAATTCACAAACAAAAATACCCACAATGCTATGAAGTTTGCAGTGATAAAGTAGTAGTTAATTAACTAAACCAATACTTTTTACCTTGCTTCCTTTTCACCCATGATACATAATGACCTGAAGAACTAGATCTTCCTTGGTGAGTTAGCACTGCTTGTAAGTCATAGTAGCCACAATTATTGGAGCCAATATCTTAAAGGAAAGGGAATCAATTAAAATAGACAACAAACAGACAAGTGTTCTCTCAAAGTAACAATCTTCAAGTTAGGACTGGAGAAATACTGCTCTACTGGACTCCACTAAATGCCACTGTGCAGAGCTACAATTAAATTTATTACCCATAACTATACCACTTTAAGTTACATTAAGGAAAATTATTTTTTAAGAAGCCTGAATTTAGGCCAGGCTTCCATCTATTCCACCAATACTTGGAAAGCTAAAATAGGTGAATAGAAATAACTTTGAGGGCTACTATTAGCTACACAGTGAATTCAAGGCCATCCTGGACTATAGAGTGGGAGCTTTTCTCCAAAACAAAAACAAACTTTTAAATGAAAAAGCATAGTATCTGAATAAATAAATAGTAGAACATGCCATCTGACTTCAATGTGGACATAATAAAAATGAGACATCCAAAGGCTGGGTGATGGTGGTGGTAGTGCACACCTTTAATCCTAGCACTGAAGAGGCAGAGTCAGGTGGATCTCTGAGTTCGAGGCTAGCCTGGTCTACAGAGCTAGTTTAAGGACAACTAGGGCTAGGGCTACACAGAGAAACCCTGTCTCAAAAACCCAAAATGAAAAACGAACATCCACTTACCATCAGCAAATGAAAAGGGTTCATACTTAACCTCTTTTGGGGGACTGTTCTTGTCATTCTAAGAGAAAAAAAAGGTTTAATTTTAAATTGTGATACTGGAAATAATTAACTACTAACATATTCTTGTTAGTAGTTAATTATACAAATATTTACACTTAAATAACGGTCTGCCTTGCAAAATACTTTAATAAACTATACAAAAAAAACTGCAACGCCAAAGGCTCTACTCTTTCATAATACACAGTATTATCACAGTAAATAACATGTTCTGCTACTATACTGATATATTGCTAATGTTAAGCCACTAACTAAATTTTTAGCATGGCATAGGATCTAGTGGTGTGTCTATGAACCTGCAAGGACTATCTCAAAAATAAAACAAAACCCGAGTCAAGTTTCTGCAATCAAAGCCATGCCCCTTCCGTTTTAGATGAGATGAACGAAGGCCTACACTAAAAGTAGAGTGATTAAGAGACTTCAGAAGAGACTCACTTTCCCAACTCATTTTACTAATAGAGAAAAATTAAGTAGGCCTTAAATAAAAATAACAGAAAACAGAGGAAACTCAACAAAACAAGGCCATCCTTGAATCAATAAAACTGAGAACCATCAAGAAGAAGAGACAAATTTCAATTATTAGTAAAGAAATGGGCTAGATTTGCCCTACAGATGAACAATTACACAAACATGACCTGCTAAATGAACACCAGGAACAATCACACAGACAATGTGATTCTGTGAGAACAAGGACAACACTGTATGGAAACGGTCACTTGAGAAGTCCTTTACTTGTCTTGTAGTTTCAGAAAACTAAGTCAAACATTTAAAAACTTAAAGTCTCCAGACACTGGTTATGTCCACAATTACATCAAATAGAAAATAATTCTACAGTCTGTCTGAACACAATGGGGAAGGGGGAGCTACTTCAGGATGTAAGATCAACACACAAAGATAGTAATGCCAGTTGCAGAAGCATTACAAAGAACAAAGCTTGGCGATCACAAACCTAATCCTTACAGGGAAATTTCATAAGTTATGACATTGTAGCACATGCCTATCATCCTAGCACTTTGAGGTATAGAGGCAGGAGGATCAAGAGGTCAATGCTAGTCTCAACTGCCTAGCAAATCAGTGGCCAGCCTGGGCCCCATGATCCCTGTCTTAATGAACAAAGACAAACACTGTGGTACTGCCAAAGAACAGATACACAAACCATGGAATAAAATTGAAGACTCCAAAAACACATTCTTATCTATCATCAATCAATTATCTACAAAGATTCAGGATCATTAAATTGGCAAATACTAGGTTTTACTTATTTTTTAGATGCTAGAGAGTCATAGCCAAAAGAATGAATCTGAACATCTTACCACATAGAAGTTAAACCAGAATGAATCAAGTACCAAAATGGAAAAACTATAAAACCCTTCAACTTTTTCTCTGCATTAGGATGAAAAGATAAAACTACAGACTTTGAGAAAACACTTGCAATCTGCATAGCTAAAGAATTACAATCTACAACAGAATAATAGTTCAGCAGAAGACCCACATATGACAACCATAACATGAATAATGGTCAACATCATTAAAACTTGGAAAACACCAGGCGGCACCACAGACATATCCACTGGCTTGAATGAAAACTAGTGACAACAGCAAATGCTGGTCAGAAAGTGGGCCAGTCACACATCGATGAGGAGAATGTAAAGTAAGAAGCATTTGGCACTTTCTTGAAAAACTGAGCATGCAACCATCATGCAACACAGCAATTATACTTTTAGACATTTATTCTAGGAAAATAAAATTCCTGCTTACAATAATAACTGCAAATAAACATTTTACCAGCTTTATTCATATAGACAAAAACTGAAAACGATCTAAGTATCCTTTAATAGAGGAATGATTAAGCAAACCACAGAATGTCCACACAAGGAAATACAATTCAGTGATTAAAAACATTGCTACTGAAATACACAATCTGTATAACTTCTGGGGAAGTCTGAATGAGGAATCAATTCAAAAAGTTTATGTCTAATAAACAGGAGCTTAATTTCATTTAGTAACTTTCTTGAAATTATTAGAAAAGCATAGAAACATGATGAAGATGAGACTAAGATGGTAATCCTATACCTCCCATTCTAACAGAAAGAGGATTAAAATACCTCAAGGAAAATCATCACGTGTGGAAAATGCAGACTTCATGTGAATGCACACATGCTGTAGACTCCAGGGCAAAGATAAGAAGGGGTCTGCTTTCCCATGACAGAGCCCCTGCTTCTGGCACTACATTACTGCAACTACGGTGGTAAGAGGCTAACATCAAGATATACAAGATGTAGGCACCTCCTACCTGAAATGTAGGCTGATCATTTTCATAATAGTAACGGCTACTGCTAGGCACTAAATGAAGATTCAAATGGCAGTAATAAAAGTACAGCAAAAAGAACCTACTGCATTTGGCTGCTGATTCACTTTCTTATCTTCTAGATCCTTGAATTTTGACCGAAAAGAGACCATTTTCTCTTGAAGTTCTGGTGTGCAGAGTTCATACACATCCAGCATAAGAGGAAATTTAACATCCTATAACAGAAAAAAAAAGTGCAAAAGGACCATTTTTTTAAATACATAAATACTTTCAAAGTAATACTTTCATAATTCAAACAGAAGTTGAAAATGAAATCTGTGACATCACAGTAAAAGACCGTCACTGAAGAAATCCTTTGACTTCTTTTCAAAGGTGACTTGCAATAAATGGGCTCTGTGTTTACAGAAAAAAACCCACAAAACCGGGAGGGAATAGTGATTGTAGGGTTGGGGGAAAACGGAGGAAAAGGAATGAGGGGTAGATTTGACCAAAACAAATTATATGCATGTACAATCAAACACTTAAAACAAAATTAAAGGGGCTGGAGAGATGGCTCAGCGGTTAAGAGCATTGCCTGTTCTTCCAAAGGTCCTTAGTTCAATTCCCAGCAACCACATGGTGGCTCACAACCATCTGTAATGAGGCCTGGTACCCTCTTCTGGACTGAAGAAAGAATACTGTATACATAATAAGCAAATAAATAAATATTTAAAAAAAATAAAATAAAACAAAATTAAAGAGTGATCTGATTCTAACTTATATAGTGACTACTTTTCCAGATCTTTTTCCATTAAATAATCAAGCCAATACACATGACCACAGAAGCTGCAGTTGTTTAACAGAGTATTCCAAATAGCCAGTGCTTTGCTGGGAAAAACAATTTTTATAAAGAAACAATACTGAAGCATTTAAAGCATATTAAAATAGCTGCAGTAAATACTAGTAGAGCCTAACCTTCATTTAACCTTCACCTACAACTCTATCAGAAAATGTTATGAATTTCAGCTTCAGAGGCTAGATTCATTCATGTAATTCTTCCCAAGGAGTTTTGTATACAGACAACTAGTCTACCCAGTTCAAGACAGTTCAAGGGATCACAGCATATGTTCTGTGGTGCGTAAATGCAATGTACCGTGCTTACTGCCTGTCCTCATTTCCAACAAATCCCCTCAAATCTCATCTATGAAGTGAAGGATCTAATTTAAGGCAGTATTTCTGGAGTGTGCAAGAATACTACAATTATCTGTGAATCCTTTGAAAAATATAAAATGCTAGCTCCAAGACTTAGATGTTTAAGACTGGAGAAAGAAGTCATGCATATGTACAACCAAAGGGGTAATACATAATTTAATAAACACCATGAGTAAAGATCACCCACCTAATATTAATCACCCCTAACCATCTCAAAACTATTTTGGGGGGGGTTTTGTTGTTGTTGTTTTTTAATTTTTTTTTTTTTTAAGACAGGGCTTCTCTATTTAGAGTGTATCCTGGAAAACACTCTATAGAGCAGACTGGCCAGGAACTCAGAGATCCTCCTGCCTCTGCTTCCCAAGTGCTTAAAGGGATTAAAAGTGTGTGCCACCCCAGCTGAAAGCTATTTGTAATACGATAAATAAATCTATTATAGATTAGAATTGCCTTGAAAGGATTTTATTTAATATGCAAGTTAAAATTCATTACTAACCTTAAGAACTTTGGCGTTCACAGATTCTTTCTCTTTATAAAAAAATCGAACCATCTGAATAGTTAAGTAAGCAGGCAGCCGGCTGATCTTAGACTAAGGAGAGAAATGGGAAGAAATCCTTTATATCTAAGGCCACATACGTTTTTTATTTTTGGTAGTAAAAACAAAGCTCAGATAAAATTAACTGGAACTCGTTCTCTTTTTTGTATGTGTACACTGTGGGTGAGCATCCAAATGTGCACTTGTATGCGCATTTACAAGTATGGAGGCACATGTATGTGTCCAAATGCACATGTGTGAATGTGCATGTGGAAGGCTAAGGTTGACAGGTGTCTTTCTCAACCACTCTTCACCTTTTTTATTTCTTGCTGAACCCTGAACTCACTGTTCTGATAAGTCCAACCAGTCAGTTCTACCTGCAGCATCCTGGGATTAGAAGCAGGAAGCCATGCCTACTCGGCTTTGACATGAGTTCTGGGGTTCCAAATTCCAATTCTTGGGCTTTCACAGGAAAGCACTTTTCCCACTCAGCCACCTCCCTGCCCCTGAATCCTTATGAAAAGGAATTCAATTTCAAAAGGAAATCTATAACTTACAGACTTGATGTACAAAGCATTTCTCTGCAATGTTGGAGACTGTTTAGTAATTTCTTCCTGCAATCGCTGAAAAGGAACATTACAAACAATCAGATATCAGATTTAAAACTCTTGTCTGCAGCAGATTCACACAGCTCATTTTAAAACATAGCACTATTTAATTAATAATAATACATCAGTGGATTTATCCCAGTGAAAAACAATTCGAATAAACATGACTTAGGCAGGGTTTTTTTGTGTTTTTTTGTTTTGTTGTTTTTTGTTTTTTTTTTTTTTTTTTTTTTAAGATTTGTGCACACTTTTAACTCCAGAATTCAGGAGGCAAAGGCAGGCAAATCTCTGTGAATTTGAGACCAGCCAGACCTATTAAACAGAGAAACCATATCTAAAAAAACAGACAACCAGACAAGCAGAAAAGAATCCTTCTGAATACAATGTTGCTCAAGGTCAGAGAAGATAAATTGTTATTTTTTAAATAATAAAGCCTTCTGTGACCCTCTATCTATGAATAATCAGAATACCCACACTAGAAACTAAGTGAAAGTAGGAAGCCCTTGCTCTTCATTCATTAATATAAAAGCCCGTCAGCATCAATTAGGTTAATTTTAAATCTGAAAAGGATTAACAAAGAAAATGTGTTAACCTAAGGCAGCGATTCTCAACCTGTAGGCTACAACCTCTTTGGGGGTGGTGAATGACCCTTTCACAGGGATCAGACATCAGATATTTACATTATAATTCATAATAGTAGCAAAATTAGTTATGAAATTGTAACAAAAACAATTTTATGGTGGGGGTCACCACAACATGAGGAACTGTATTAAAAGATCTAACCCTAGGGTTAACCTAACCCTAACCCACTAGAAAGGTTGAGAAACCACTGGTCTAAGGGATGTGGGGAAATCTTTAGCTATACCTTATCTCCTCTGGCTACATTTGTTAGTCACCATTTCAGAGTGATTTTAAATGGCACACGTCAGTACATGCTGAAAACTTGGGAAACAATCTGGCACATAGTTCATATGTAATAAAGATTTTCTACTATTTTCAATGTGCTACCTATATGTGCATATATAAATTAGCAAAACTAAACAAATATGAACTAAAAGAATTTACAGTTCATAATTTAGTGTCTTACAATTGTGTAATTTAAGACTGGTTTTGAAAAAATTTACCAATCACATTATAAAAGTAATCACTGCAGCTTTAACACATAATAACCATGCAAAGCTAAAACATCAAGTAAAATGATTTAAAATCCAAACAAATAGTGGGATGGTGATGGTGCATGCCTTTATTCCCACCATTCGGGAGATAGAACTCTCTGAGTTTGAAGCCAACCTGGTCTACAAAGCAAGTTCTAGGACAGTCAGGGCTGTACAGAGAAACCCTGTCTTAAAAAAGAAAAAAGGAAAAGAAAAAAAATCCAAACAAATGATGATAAAAATCTTTAAAATTATAAAGGGGGAGAAAACCCACACAATTCAGAAATATATTTTTAAAAAAGTATAGCTAGAATTAGGTGTACTGGTGAACGGTAATCCCAGCACAGTGGAGGTTGATCCAAGAGGTCCGCAAGTTCCTAAGCTACAAAGTGTGTACCCATGTGTGCAGACACACTTGCTTGTGTCAAAGTATTCATCAGCAAGTTACAATTAACATGATGCAATGCTGTCAGGTTGTCATCCAGACCTCTGAAGTATAGCTTTGCTAAAATTTTACAAAATTTAAAAAAAATGCCCGCAGAATCCCTGACAAAACATTCAATTCTAATTCTAATTAACATTCACATTCCATTTTTTATGTCCTCTAACTTGTAATTAGCAATTTATGAAACTATGTTAATAATGCTTTATTAGTTAAAAAACCAAGTGAAGTGCGATTTTCAAATACACAGGTAATTCTTGACATTCAGAGCAGCTGTGTGACACCATGAGCACTGAATTAGTAAATACTAAACCATGTTCCTAGGAGGAATATTGGGTAGGTTACTGCAAACTTCTGGTCACCCTTCCATCAACTAACTGACAGATAACCTTGCGGGTGTTTCCTCTTAAAGATGTCTTACTTCACCTACAACAGAACAATCCTAATACATGCATTGTCCTCGTAAAGCGCATTACAGCATCCTTGTACTTAGGAATGCCATATGCTTGGGGATAATTCTAAACACAAAAATTACCAACAATAACATTAAAATAAAAAAGCATGATGCTACAAAAGACACATATATGGTGTGTCAACTAAACAAGAAAATGGAGCAATTCATGTAGGACTACTGTGTGACACTCAACTCAAAAATTGTGCTACTGTGTTGGGGAAATAGCTGTCAATATTGTTCTTGCCACACAAACATGAGAACCCAAGCTGGATCTTTAGAACCCATATTAAAAAGCCAGGAATGGTAGCACACTTATAACTCCAGTGCTGAGGAAGAAGAGACAGGCAGATCCCTGAGTCTTGCTGTCCAATCAGCCAAGCTGCCAAGTCAAAGATGGGTTTTTCAAGACAGGTTTTTCTGTGTAATTCTAGCTGTCCTGGAACTTGCTTTAGACCAGGTTGTCCTCAAACTCGGAGATCCACCTGCCTCTGCTTCCCACGTGCTGGGATTAAAGATGTGTGCCATCAATGTTCGGCAGTCAGTGACTGTCTTAAAGATAAAGTGGGCATTGCCCAGGGTTGTCCTGTGACTTCCATACACACACCACAAAAACCTACAACCTGTGCGGGCCCAACTCCTCAGAAAATAACCATCAAAACACAGCAAGAAGCACCTTTGAGTTTACAAACAAATTTTAGCCAACAAGCATATTCACAAATACAAAACCCACATGAGGCTCAGCTGTGGTTTCCTTACCAATTTAAGCCCTGTGAAAAGATATTTAACTTCCTGGTTGATGAAACAACTAAGTTGAAGTTGATTTTCCTTTCCTTTGGTGACCTCCTCTTCTTCAGATTCAGTACATTTCATGCTTTGCAAATTAAGGAATGGCAACAGCTATTCAAATTATTAGTTAATCTTGAAAAGAATAAATTATCCTAGAGTTATTAATAGTCATATGTTGATTTATTTTAAACATTAGTCTCCCAATAAAGATTCAATGCAACATGCTTTGCCTACCAACAATTTCATCAACAAAAATGAGTATGTGTTGAAGAGACCACAACAGGATATAAGTTGTCATTCTGATAAGTATCTTAATGATATAAATATGAGCAAAAAATGTTCTCTAGATTTCTACCCACATCTCAGAAAACAGTTCCTTAAATTCATGTGCATTATTAATACATTAGTTTCATGTAAGTGAAACTTCTCTATGAGATAAACTAATGAGACACACTGATAAAGGTGTTCTTAAGAAAAAATAATGGGGGTTGGAGAGGTGGCTCAGTGGTTAAGATCATGTACTGCTCTTCTGAAGGACCAGGATTTGAGTCCCAGCACCTATGTCAGGTGTTCACAACAACCTCTAACTCCAGTTTCAGGGAATCTGATACTTCTGGACAACACACATATATGCATAATTTAAAAGTAAATAAATAAATATTTAAGAAAAATAATGAATCTCCTTAAGGTATACATATTTATCTAAAGTTCAAAATAACTGAATGATCATTTTATTAACTCCTAATTAACATTATTATAAATTTTTAGGCATAGAATTCTGATAAATTTTCTTCTGCTCTCCAACGGCAATCAGCCAACTAGACTCTTTAGTGACAATTACTTCTTACAAACTTTGAACACAGTCTATACAAATCTTGGCTCAATAAGGATACGTGGTTTCAAACTCAACACCAAAAAACTGATCAATTAAGCTTTTCTTTTTAGAAGGTGTCACAGCTGATGCAGAAGAATCTGTCTGCAAAATTAAAAGAAAATTCTAGTTTTACTTTTCGTAGATTTCAATACAATCCAGTTTACTAATACATACTTAAAATTTTTAAATGTAGGTCTTTTGTGTATTTCATCCTATGATTCAAAATAATTACCAAAAGATTAAACATGTTGAATAAATATCAATAGATTATGTTTACAAGTAGACTAAAATGATAGTCGTCAAATTCTAAGTATAGGCTGAGCATCTAAAATAGTCTGGCCGCTATCTACCGATTAAGCTATATTTATTTAAAGTCATTACAAGAAAAAGCAAAAAGATAATCAAAATAAACACAGAGTGGCATGAGCCTCTGGTCACCTCCTTAACAGAGTCGTCCTCTATGGCTTCCAGCTTCTGCTGCAGCACTCGCATCATCTGTATCCAGCATTCATTAGCATCCTGTGATGGAAAACGGAACACATTTGTCCTGGTTGTGACAGCGTTTACTCTTTAAAATTCTTTCAAACTAATTCTTTTTCCTTAAGAAAAAAAGGTATTTTCTTCTTTAAAAATACCCATTCAGAGCTGGGCATGATAATGCCCACTTACAACCACACTTGGGAAGCAGAGGTAAGAGAACTGCCACAAATTCAAGCCTGCATGATCTAAACATAGTTCCAAGGCCACTCAGGGTGACACAGCAAAACCCTGTCTCAAAATAATCAAAACTTGTTAAGTGGACATGGCAGTGCACATCTTATTCTCAACACTCAGAAGGCCAAGGCAGAAGAATGGCCATCAATTTAAGGCTGCACACATGCAAACTGGAGGCCAGTCTGGGCATATAGCAAGACTCTGTCTCCATCCCCCACTACATCCCACCTATACATTCAGAGGCTGATGGTAAGATAGCTCAACAGGTAATGTAAATACACCTGCCGCCAAACCCTCATGGTATTAGGAGAAAACTGACCCCTGACCTCTGAACATGGTCCTTTAACCTCCATATATGCACCATGCCATACATATCCCAGCCCCACACACAAAATAGAAATTTAAATTCTTCTAAAATTTTTTAAGGATTTATTTACCTGTGTACATGTCCCTAAGTATGTGCACCACATGTGTGGGGTGCCACAAAGACCTTAAAAAGGGTGTTAGGTTCTTGGAACTGGAACCATAAACAATTGAGTCACCTAATCTGAGAGCTAAGAACTGAACCTGGGTCCTCTGGAAGAGCAACAAGCACTCTTAACCACTGAGCCATACCTTCCATCCCTTGTTTTTTAATCACGCACAAAAATAACTACTTCAATTAAACTGGTATAAGATCTTTCAAAAAGTAATGAATTTCAGAAAATTCATCCAGTAGATTTTGTACTCCTAACGGAGCTACACTACTACAGATATTTCAAAACTTTAGTGCATGTATAAGTGCGTGCCACATGTGTAAGTGCTTGCAGAGAGCACAACAGCATGCTCCCCTGGGGTTGTAGTTAAGAGAAGTTATGAGCTACCCAACATGGGTACTGGGAACACAACTTGGGTCTTCTGGAAAAGCAACAAATGCTCCTAAGTTTTTTAAAAAATGGGATACAGAGAGAGTCATCTCTCCAGCCCCAAGCCCCACTTATTTTTAATTTACCTATTTTGGGAACTAGAGAGCAAACCCAGAGCTTCATTCATGCTAAGGCAGTGTTTAATCGTTCAACTCTACCCCTCCCCTTATTTAAATTTTTAAAAGGACAGCAGGGCCTGTGTGACAAAACATATTGGGGTGAAATATAGATGACCAGCTAAGATGATAGCCACACTCTGGCAAGAGATAATGACATGAACTAAAGCAGACTAAGACCTGTGTTTACAACTACATTACAATTACTATCATGAGTGCGGAACACCTAAGTTTTGGGTTAGAGAGATGGCTAAGTGAGGAAAGTGCCTGCTATCCAGGGATAAGGACCTGAGTTTGAATGCCCAGAACCCATGCCAAAGCCAAACATGTAGCCAGAGCACCTGTAATCCTAGTGCTCCTACCAGCAGAGAAGAGAATCCCCAGAAGCCTGTGTACATAGTGGAAAAATAAGAGTGCCTCTGTCTAAAGTAGAAAGTACAAACTGACCACCAAACGCACACTGTGACTTGTACATCCACATTTACACACACACGCAGAAAGATAATCTAAGTCTCTCGTTTACAAAATGAGAGAAACCTGTCCCTGATTACCTGCTGAAGATACTGTCCTTGTTCACCCTTCTCCGCAAACTGTGGGAAAGCCATGTGCAGAAACTGCAGTAGAATAATAGGTGGTATACTAGAAGAAGTTTTATCCATGGACTCAAACAAATCTCTAAGGGCTTAAAAAGAAAACAAATATTGATTTAGAAAAAAGGTAACATATTTAATATATGGTTATTTTGTAGTAATAAAAATGTTCTAAAATTATACAACACTATGAAGAATGATGGACACATTTCAAATGGGTGACCTGTATGACATGTGGCTTACACTTAAATAAAACTTCTAAGGATAAAATAGCACAGCTATAAAACATTATCTGATTATTCATGAGATGATTCATTTCTAGTCAGGCATGGCAGTGTGTACGTATAATCTCATTTCTTGAGAGGCTATAACAATAATATCTTGAGTTCAAGACCAACTTGGACTACATGGTGACATCCAGTCTCAATAATAAAGTGGGGGTTGTTCATTAATTACAATATCAAATTCCCCTCATGTAGTAAAGAAGCACATGATGACTAGCTTTTAGAGAATATCAAATAGTTTAGGTAGGGAGCACACTTAGCTTGCAAGAGGCCCTAGGTTCAATCCTTACTTAGCACCACAAAAATAGTAATTTAGATTTATTCTTACACATATTACTTCTTTATTAACATCAAGTAAGTTTTTTCTTAATAACAATCACAACAACACTACTAAAACTTATTTCTGTCACCTCCTAATGTCATTCCCAGGGATTTAACTAACAGAATCTGCAAACAAAATAACAACACAAAAAAAAAAACCCAAAGGTCTGGTCTGGGGAGATGACCAGTCAATAAAGTGTGTACCAGGAAAGTACAGGAGCCTGAGCTCAACTCCCAGAGCCATTAAAAACGCTGGAGACAGTAGAACACACTTGTCATTCCGACCACAGAGAGATGGGAACAGGGAGACCCTTGGGTTCCATAACCACCAAGACTTGCCTAACTGGCAAAGTTCCAGGCCCAAAAAAAAGATAAATAGCTCCTGAAGAACACCTGAGGCTGACCTCTGGACCCACATGCACTAATACACAACACACAAAAATGTAACTACATGAACATACACCAAACAAACAAAAACCAGAAGGGAAGTTTACCCTTTGAAAGACAGGCCTTTCTATTGCTCATACTCCAGGTTAGCCTTGGCCTTAGAATCTCCTGCCTTGGTCTCCCAAGTATTGGAAGTACAGATATGTGTGTGACTCCACTTCAAAAGTTTATTTTTCAAGGAAAAAAAAAATATATCACTGGTTTGTAATCTGGATACATTTCAAGTTATTTAATGTAAGCATAAAGATATTCTATATAAATGAAGTGACAGACAAAAACGAAATTAGTTGCTACTTGTTTGTTCATTCTTTTTACATAGGTACTGTGGCTTTACCTGGAGAGATGGTTCTGGGGGTAAGGTACCTACTGACAAGCCTAACATGAGTTCAATTCTTCCAGGACCCACATGCTCCAAGGAGAGAACCCACTCACAAAAGCTGCCCCTGACCTCCACACGTGCACGTGTACACACACATACACACATACATTAGTAACATTTATTGAATAGGACAGCCCCTCTCAGTATACGTACTGACCTGCAGTAATATACTGTGCTGAAGCCATTTCCCCTGAAGCTCTCAAGGCACCTGCATACCTAGGAACATTAAGTATAACAAACACAATTAAATTCATCCTGAAATTTAAATGAGAAGAAACTAAATTAAAAGAACTTATTAGGATAATGTTGAATTCAAATTTCTCCAAGTATTTTTCCCCTTCTGGTCTTACTCATGTAAGCACAATGGACCTTCAAAATCTATTTAAACTTAAAAGCCACATACTTAAGATTCTGCATTGACTTCCTTACAGAACACTGCTTAGAGTAAAGCCAGAGGTCTACTTTCAGCATTACTCACCTAACATAACTAAGTCACTAAGCAGGTCAACATTCTAGTAGACAGTATCTACATTCTAGTAGACAGTATCTACTTTCACTTTCAGCTTCATGATCCAAATCCAACCATGGTCACTGCTCACATATTACCTCATTATATAGAATCTCAATCTCCGCTCACTGACATATTCTCTATGGTAAAACACGGCTTTTCTACTACACATTCACTAGAATCTCTAATAATATCTCAGAGAAGAGACCAATCAGAACTACCCGCATGATCAACCTTGACAAATCTCAACTTTAGGTCGAATAAAGAACTAAACCAAAAGTGAAAGCCTACATGATCTGTTTGCATTCCAGAACTGCAAAGTAACACGAGATATGAAGTTGCCAGAGGCACTTGGAGGGAATGAGGATTTTCAACTGGAGAAATAAAATGTTCTAGTTTGGCAGGAAAATAGATCACAAAGCATTTGTATCTGTCAAAACCAATCAAATCCAACAAGGAAAAAAATAAACAACCAAACCAAACAGTGTGGTAAGTGTCCCTGCAGATGTAAAGTATGCCTCTTGCTTACTTCAATAGGATGAAGGAGGCCACAGAAGAGACGTTAAATTACCTCCAACTCAAGGGCTTTGCTTTCCTGCCATCTGTTTATAACTTTTAAAACTATAAGGCTTTTTTTGAATTTTTTGTTTTGCTTTTTGTTTTTAAATTTATAGAGTCAGATGGAGTGGAGGGCAGGAAACATTTTTAAGACGACTTCAGATTCTCAAAGAAATCAAAGCAGGACTAATTTACAAAACTTGAGAGAAGAGCACAAGCAGTGAACCAGTCAGTGCAGACAGGAAAGTGGCACGAGGAAGTCTGTCCCAAACATAACTTTGTAAAAGTAAAATGCAGATAAAAACATTCGAAGTATGAAAAAATGATCTAAACATTTTGGGCTGGAGAGATAGCTTAGCAGCTTAGAGGTCCTTTTGCAGAGGACCCAGGTTCAATTCCCAGCACCCACATGGCAGCTCAAAACCATAACTCTAGTTTCAGGGGATCCAATGCCCTTTTCTGGCCTCCAAGAGAATCAAGAACACCTATTGTGCAAACTACATGCATGCAGGCAAAACACTCAAACATAAAATACTTCAAAAATCATAAAAAAAAAAATCAGACCTGAAAGTTCTAGTTTAGTCAAATTTAAAGTGCCTAACTGAGTACCACAGTTTAAAAAAAAAAAAAAGTAAACACTCAGATTCTAAGAACATTTAGGAAAATAAAAATAAAGGAAAAAACCTAAAACTACTAACAAAAAAGGAAACAGCAACCACTGTCAGACCAGAAAGGCCTATGAAACCTCTGAGAAATAACTATTAATCACTGAAGAAACAATTTTGACCTAGGATATTTGCACCAAGAAAAATGGGCTAAAAAAATAGTATTTTGAAAAAAAAACAGAAAAGGCTTACTGTGATTGTATCAGGCCATATTTCTAAGTAAAAATAAAAGAAAAAAAAGTGCTAAAGATTAAAATAACTGCCAGTATCAAGTACTAAATAATTTGAATGTTCATATTTTCATTAAAATCTTTCAATAAAGGCTCCCAATCACCATCATACAAACAGCTCGTTATCATTATATTATTATAATATGTGTGTGCACACACACACATGTGTATGTCACAGAGAAGGGAAAACGACTGTTGGGCATCAGTTCTCCCCTTCCACATATGGGTCCTGGGTATTGAACTGAGGACATGCAGTAGGCATCTTTACCAACTTAGAAATCTCACTGGCCCCCATGGCATTTTTTTTAAGGATTCATTCATGTTATGCATATACGTATGTGCACCACACACATGTGTGTCTGGTACCTCCAGAAAGCAGATGAGGCGTCAGACCCCCTGGAACTGACGTTACATATAGACAGCTGGGGCTGCTATGTGCAGACAGATCTTCTGCAGAAGCAGTTTAGCAGTGAAGCCTCTACTATTCTTCAATTTATACTCACTGAGAAGAGATTTACAGACAAATTCATAGGTTCTCAAAGTATATGACTTTTATTCACTTGTGTGACGGAATATGAAAACAATGTTTTCGTTCTTTTTTTAAAACTACCATTCAACTGTAGGGCCCAGCCATGTCAAGCTCAACAGAGGCCTGAGTTTCAGATTACCTGTTTGCAGGAAAGACCACAAACCGAGACCACCCAGGCACCACCACTACCCAGGTCCATCCAAGAGGAAACGAACTAACGTTCGTCCCAACCATTGTACAAAGGATCATCTAATATCTATTAGCCTGCACACATCCATTCCTTTTCACCAGGACAACCCTAGACAAATGCCACCAATCAGGGGTCCTAAATCTGAGAAATCCCTCAGTCTATGATAAAAGAAAAACCCACCCCAACTGAGTTTGAGGCTCTCTAATTGTGCCAATGTGTTGGACACATGGACAGCCCAAGTTCAAACTTGAATAAAGGCTCTTTGCTTTTACATACGGAATTTGGTCTCTGTGGTAGTCCTTTAGAGGTCCCAGCAATCTGTGCACAATGGTACAATGGAATATAAAAACAAAGGTTTTGCTCTTTTTTAAAACTACCATTCGGGCTGGAGAGATGGCTCAGTGGTTAAGAGCACTGCCTGCTCATCTAAAGGTTCTGAGTTCAATTCCCAGCAACCACATAGTGGCTCACAACCATCTGTAATGAGATCTGGTGCCCTCTTCTGGCCTGCAGGCATGCATGTAGGCAGAATACTGTATATATAAGTAAATCTTAAAAAAAAAAAAAAAAAAAAACTACCATTCAACTAGCGTAGTTAAACCTTAACCTGAAGGGAACAAAATTAAAAGCATATAAACCATTATTAACAAAGCTACTAAGACAACTAAATGAGTTAGATCAGTTTGACAAACAGTGCTGGAAGATGTGTATTATCGATATACAAAACGAGATGGAGTAAGACATCTACCTCCTACCATACATTCAAATTAACAGGAAAAATTTCTCTTCCTTAAAAAAGGAAATGTGGCCAGGTATGATAGCTCACACCTTTAATACCAGCAGAGGTAGAGGCAGGTAGATTCCTGTAAACTTAAAAACCAACCTGGTCTATATAGTGAATTCCAGGAAAGACAGAGACCCTGTCTCAAACAAAACAAAACAAAACAAAAATATAGTATAAATGTTTGCAATGTTATATTATAGAGTTCATTTCTAACATAACACCAGAAGAAATAAAATGAGAAATTAAAATTCAACTACATTAAAATACGATTTTTAAATTTACTCTGCGTGCACTCATGTGTTGCACTGCACACATGAAGATCAGAGGATTTCAGGTGTTCACTCCCTCCTACTTTGCTTGAAGAAGAATCTCACAGCATACTTCAACAAGCTAGCCTGTGCCTCCCATCTGCCCTAAGAGTGCTGGATCACAGATGCACGTCACTGTACCTGGCAATTTACAGGCTCCAGGGACCGAACCCAGGTTTATCAGGCTTGCATATCAACCATATCTGGCCACTAAGTCATCTCCCTAGCTCCTACATTAAAATATTTTTTTAATGTGCTGTAAACAGACTACCCACAAAGTTAAACAACTCAGAATACAGAAAAAAGTACTTCTAAATTACACAGTAAGTCGATTTAGAATATATTTTAAAAACAACAGAATTTAAAAAAAAAAAGAAAAGAAAAAAGAAAAAAAAAAGGGCAAATAACTCAAAAACAGGCTAAGAGGAATGGGAGATGGCTCAGTGGTTAAGAGCACTGACTGCTATTCCAGAGGATCCAGGTTCAATTCCCAACACCCACACTGCAGCTTACAACTGTCTGTAATTCCAGTATCCGGGGACCCAACACTTAATGTTTTGTTCTGTTCCTTTAAGAGACAAGCCCCGCCCACTCCATTTCATTCTGCAGAGGCAAGGGGATCTTCCTTCTGCTTCCAGCATGTGAGCTCTCTCTCTCTGCCCTCTCTTCGGAAGGTGGCTGCTGCCACGGCTCCTCTTCTATCCTGTCCCCATTCCTGTCTCTATTTCTCTCTCTCCCTCTCTCCCCCTTCCCTTTCCTTCCATAACCCACTAAATATTCACTATTCATGGCATGCCTATCCATCTCTGTCTCTCACCTGCCAAAGTCTCTCATCCACAACTTCCCACCGGCCTGGGACCCAGAGAAGCCTCAGGTGGTTGGACCCAGCTGCCCCTCAGGGAATGGCACCATTTTATCTAAACCATTACAAACACCCATGACAAAACACCAAAAAAGATAGACAGATAGATAGAAAAATAGATAGATATATAGACAGACAGACAGATAAGAATATATTTTAAAAAACAAGACAAAGATTTAAATAGACATTTTCAAAACATACAAATATCCAATAAAAACCTAAAAAGATGCTTAACATCATTAGACATTAGGAACATGAGAATAGCAATCAGTCACCACTTCACACCTGTAGGCTAACTGCAATCAAATTCAGATTGTAACAAGTACTGAACAAAGGTGGAGAAATTAAGAGTCCTTTTCCACTGCTGGTAAAATGTAAAATGGTGCAGCCTCTTTGCAGAATTTTGTTTCTCAAAATCTTATGACTAAACAACCCATTGCTAGGTTCAAAAACAAGAGAAATGAAAACACTGTCCAAATGTTTGTACATGAACACCTGTAGTGGTTAGAATGAGAAACATCCCCCCATGAGCTCTTGAGACAAGAGTCTCTATTTCATGGTGCTTTTCGGGGAAGTTATAGACTTGCTGAGTAAGTACATCATTAGGGGTGGCCTTTAGGAGTTTACAGATTTGTACCACTTCCTATTTTCACCCTCTGTTCCTTGTGTACAATAAAGGTGATCAGCCAGTTTCCTGCTCCTGCAGTCATGCCTTGCTTGCTGTCATACCTTTCCCACTATTACACCACCATGGGGTGTCTACCATCACTTTGGAACTGTAAGCCAAAATAAATACAGTGGAGACACTGTAAAGCTTCATGGCCCGCAGAGAAATAAGGGAAGAATGACACTCAGGGTCAGCACTTTAGCAGGTGCTGGGTCAAAATATCCAGAGTCTGACTGCAGGATTTACTTTTCTTAAGCACAGTAAGAATTTGGGAAAAGGTTTCCAAGTGACAGCTATCACAACAAAGCTTTAAGCATAGCTGCATAGAAGCTCCTCCCTGCAAAGTAGCAAAGCACCGTGAACTTTACAGTAAGAGTGAGTTCTATTGGCTGAGAAACAGAGCTAGGGCCTAGGGAGGATTTGCAACAAGCATAAGGACAGTCTATTGATGGAGGATGCAAAGTACATGGGACCACATACGGACAGGTTCCCTTCATTGAAAGGCAAAGTATAGGATTCAGGTCTAAACAATGCCCCAGATTTGGGGGGATTTAGGAAGGCTCGCTCAAAGAGTGGCAAAAAAGATCACCAGGTTGTTAGACAGCGTCCATTCCAGCATTTTCTTCCTTTGAAGAAAACAGGTCTAAGTTTCTTAATAAATCTTGTTCCTCCAATGCTTTCTTTAAGCTACACCTCCTATACAAGCCCTTTCTCTTCCTTAAGTGGCTAGTTTAGTCACAGTATTTTATAGCAGCATGAGGAAAGTAGAACAATGTCCATGCCAGCATTACTCATAACAGCGGACACAAGCCAAATGCCTACAGACAAAATGAATAATGAAAATTTTATATGTGTATACCATGAAACAGTAAGAGTAATACATGTTCTGTATGAATGAACCTTTGAAACTATTATGTAAAATGAAGAAAGTCAACTTGAAGACCACATACTATATGATTATATGTATATGAAATGTCCCTAAATGGGCAAATTTATAAAGTAGAAAGTAAATTAATTGCTGAAGATGGGTGGAAAAATAAAAGATGTGACTACCAGTGAGTACACATATTCATTCATTCATTCAATCATTCATTCATTGGAGACAGGATCTCACTATGTAGCCCTGGCAGGCCTGGAACTCACATGTAGAACAGCCTAGCCTTAAACCCAGAGATCCACCTGCACCTTCCTCCTGAATGAATTAAAGGTGTGCACTACCATGCCTGGCCACATTTCTTTTCTTAAGAGAGGGAAGGTTTTCAAAGCAGTAACAGTCATACAATTCTGTAGATAAAAACCATGGTACATGAAAAGCAACCTGGTATAATAAGTGTCTCAATGAAGACGCTATGAAAGTAGGGCCGTTCATCCAAGTAAGCCACTTTTACTCAGAGACTAAACCAGTTCTTTTCAGTCTTACCTTTTAAGGGCATCTTTGAGTTCAGGCACAGAACGAATACACTGAACTGTGGCATTCATGTAACAAGTGTTACCAAGGTTTGTCAATCCACACGGTAACTCCATCTGGTAAAAGGGGATGGAATAGGATTAACACATTTATAAAAGGACATAACATACATAAATCACAAAAGTTCACACTCTGAGTCAAGAATCATTTACCAGCTCTATCAACTAATATTCTACTTTCACACTAAAACAGTGTTCTTTCATTTCCCTTAACAGAAAACTTTTACTTGCATCACGCCAGCAACAATTCTGTTTTAATTCTTTTCTAGAAAATAGGAGCACAGCCTATCAGTTCTACATCTTTTCTAGGCTTGTAGGAAACGTGCAGTAGAAAGACTTCAGAACAAATACACAAAACAGACAGACAAATGAGCTGGGCTTGGTAGTGCATGCCTGCAATCTCAACAGTCAGCAGAAAGGCACATCATAAATTCAAGATTGTCTGGGCAACACAGTCTGTCTCAAAAATCCCTTCACTTTCAAAACATGTAAAGTACTAGGTGTGTGTCTATTTTAATTTGACAAGTCTTGACCATTTTCTATATTGATTTTGCATATAATAGATTTTGCATTTTGGAATAGAAGCCGGGCCATAGCTCAGTGGCAAAGTACTTGCTTTAGCATCTCCTTAGTTTGATCCTCAGTACCATAAAAAAAAAAAGATAAACTGTATTTAACATGGAAGGTATGAAGAATTTAAATATCCTATCATTTAAACTTCTCTTTGATCCTGTTTTCTCATAAGTAGTAAATATTTCAATAGAATTATCTTCCCAATACATATCTACTATATATCGATATATGTATATTTGTGTGTGCATTATATAACACCTCCATCTGTAAAAAAGTCTTTAATATCTCATAGTTTTGAAGTATAAAAGCATAAGCCCTGAATTAGGAATGTTACATTTAATGCTAAATAGAAATTAAACTTAAGTTAAAATAACATGTAAATGTAGGAAAGCTATAATAATCAAAGTATACAATATCAAGGAACTCCTGAGTTTTATGATGACGGGTCTATAGGAAAAATTTAAGCTAGTTTCAAAATATTAAAATTCTGCTCATTGCTAACACACATCAATGTTAGTAATTAATCAAATCCTTTAGATACTACTTTCTGGAAGGCATCTTAATAACTGTCCTTCAAAAAGTAGTGACCCAACATAAACTCTGGTGTCTTACAGCAGTTGCTAACTGTTCTTCTGTCATGTCTTCTACGAAGACAGTTTTAGCTGAGGGTTCTTCTGGAAGAGCATCTGCTGACCCCATCATTAGTACAGTCATTCCCTGTTATAAAAGAAATAAGTTCATGAAAATACTTAAAAGTTGACAATGTTATGTTCAATAAAGGGAAACTCAAAAGAATTCATACTACAGCATGGTTCTACTAGCCAAAAAACGGTAAATCTACATAAAACAGATTCATGGCAACCTAGCCCAGGTGGTAGCTGGAGGGAGTGACTTTAAATGGGCCTGTGTTTCTTTAGTAAGATGATCAAACTTAGAACCTTAAGAACATCTATGAGCTGGACACCCACAACACTTGGGAGGCCAAGGTCCGGGCACCCTGACTTCTAGTCCAGTGTGGTCTCCACAGTTCCAGGACATTTTGAGATCCTGTCTCAAAACAACAATAAACCAATACTGGTCCAACTAGAAACCCACACCATGAAAGGGAGTCCATCCCTGATACTTCCTGGATGGCCAGGAACCAGAGGCCGGATAGTCCAGAGACCCAGGACAGAACCAAACATGAATAAAGTCCATGAAATGATTCCTAATGATATTCTGTTATACTCATAGATTGGTGCCTAGTACAGCTGTCATCAGAAACTTCATCTAGCAACTGATGGGAGCAGATGCAAATACCCACAGCCAAACATTAGGTAGGGTTCAGGTAATACCAAGGAAGAGGATTTTAAGAGCCAGAGAGGTCAAGGACACCACCAGAACACAGTCCACAGAATCAAAGTAGGGCTCATAGGGGCTCACAGAGACTGAATTGAAAATCAGGAGCCTGTATGGGTCATGTAGTTTGGTATTCTTATAGGACTCCTAACAGTGGAAATGGAGGTGGTCTTTATGACTCTTTTGCCTGCTCTTGGGACTCTTTTCCTCCTACTGGGTTGCCACATCCAACCTTGATATGAAGGTATGTGCCTAATATTATTGTAACTTATGGTGTATTCATCCCTGAAAGGCCTGCTTTTTTCTAAAGGGAAAAAGAGGAGGAGTGGATCTAGGGGATCTCCATGAACTTTTTATAACAGCAAAGCAATACTAAACCATCACTAATGAAACTTTTTCCAAAGCCGTCTAAGGAAGCAAATATTTAAATATGACAATAATCAGTAAGAAAACAGGAAGGAGTATTAAGCTAGGCAAGACAGTACACACCTATAGGTTATAATTCTAAAACTTGGGAGACAGAAGCAGGATGATCTACAAATATCTGGCATAGGAAGTCTTTAAAAGTTATCCTCTAGGGCTGGGAAGATAAAGGCAATGGGTCTTAAAGCACTTGCCATGCAAGCATGAGGACCTAAGTTCAAATCCCCAGAACCCACATAAAACCAGACACAGTAACACTCATTTCTAATCCCAGTGTTCCTAGGCAAGAAGACACGGGAAAACTCCCAGAAGCTCAAAGGGCCAACTTGCCTGCCTTACACAGCAGCAAAAAAACAAACAAACAACAACAACAACAAAAAACCTGTCTCAAACACAGTGGAAGGCAAGAACTGATCAATGTTCTCCCCACTCCCGTGAAAATATGCTCACCAAAACTAACATAAAAAAAAATCTGTTAAAAAAATTAAAATTAACCACACAAATTCCCACTATGTTTTCCTGGTCTAAAAGAATTCACTGGTCAATGATTTCAGATATGTAAAGAACATCAATCTTTAACTCACTCAGAAAGGAGAAATTTTTTTCCAACTCTCTTAATGAGCTCAGCATAATTCTGACAATAAAATAAAAATATAGACTAGCAGCCGGGCGGTGGTGGCGCACGACTTTAATCCCAGCACTCTGGAGGCAGAGGCAGGCAGATCTCTGAGTTCGAGGTCAGCCTGGTCTACAAGAGCTAGTTCCAGGACAGGCTCCAAAGCTACAGAGAAACCCTGTCTCGAAAAATCAAAAATAAATACATAAAATAAAATATAGACTAGCCAGGTGTTGGTGGCACAGGCCTCTAACCCCACACCAGGAGGCAGAGAAAAGATCAGTTCAAGGCCAGTCTGAGCTACTTGAGACACTGTCTCTATAAAAATGAAGGTTGATATGCCTCATGATCATACATACAAACATCCTAAATAAGAAACGGGACCCAGCAATACATTAAGGAGGTAAATATGTCCTCCTCCCAAACGGTCACAGCTCTCAAAGTGCTGCCTGTGAAACTCCACTGGCACCTGAGATTCTTTCACAACTATTAACTCACAAATATTTTGACAACCAGGCCTGGTGGCACATGCCTTCAAGCCCAGCAGACAAATCTGTGAGTTCAAGGTCTACAAAGAGAATTCCATGCCACCCAGGACTATATAGTGAGACCCTGTCGGGGGGGGGGGGGAGGAAGTAAAATACTTTATTAACTCTTCACCTCTGCATACAGCTGATGCTCTGTATCAGAACGAGAAGAACCATGAAGCTGCTATGTCCACTGAGTAGTGCCGGTGCTGCAGATGCTGAGTCAGAACTTGAGTTAGGGACTTCCCTCAATTTTTTACTTATTTATGATTTTTAATTGTATTTGTGTGTGTGAGTGTGTGTGTATGAGTACGTCCGTCTGTACCACATGTGATGCTTAGAGGACAATCTGCAGAAGTCATTTCTCTTCTACCATGTGGGTTCCAGGGACAGAACTCAGGTCCCCAGATTTAGCTGCAAAGATTTACCATGGAGTCAACTGCCTCCTGTAATTACTTTTATAAGAATGAATATTTTTAACATCTCAGTTTTAATGTACCAACATGCTAAATATCAATGGACAAAAGCCCCTAACAACATGTTGGGGTTTATTGCACATTTTTTTCTTTGACACAGAGTCTTATTAATTATGTAGCTCTGACTGATCTGGACCTTCCAGAGATATACCTCTATCTGCCTTCAGAGTGCTAGAATTATGGGCATTTAAACCGTACCAAGCAAACACACACTCTTCATTCTATTTCTGAGGCTGAAGCAAGACTGCCTGAGCCAGGAGTTCAGAGTCAGCATGGGCAACATTTAGAAATATTGGGTGGTAGGGGTGGATTAAGAATCAATGAGAGCACAGTTGGCATGTACCTCAGTGGTAAAGAGCTTGCCTAGCATGCACCAGACCGACAATCCCATCCCCAGTACCAACGACAGAGGATGGGTGATAGGTAACAGTGAAATTGAGCAAAGGATTAAAAAAAAAAAAAAAAAAAAACCAGATGATCATTTTAACAAACAGAAAAAGGACTTAACAGCATTTAACATTCATTTAAATCTTAGTGATTAAGATAAAATGTCCACTCTCACTGTTTTCTATTTAGTATACTAAAAATTCTAACAAGAATTTAGAAGAAGAAAAAAAAAAACAAAACCAGAAGTCATGATGACTAAAAGGGGAAGAGTAAACTCATTATTTGCAGATATTATTCCTGTGTATGTAAAGACCTCAAAGCAATCTCCAAAAACTGGATTACTGTAACAATCAAGTGTTAAAATCAGAATAAAAAAAAAATAGAAAAAAAAAATCAATTATATTTTTAAACACTAGTCATGAACATTAAAAAACAATTTTTAAAAAATATTGTTTTCAATAGCAATAGAATATTAAATTCTAGAATCTGGAGCTGGAGAGATGGCTCAGCAGTTAAGAACACTGGTTGCTCTTCCACAGGACATGGGTTCAATTCCCAGCACCTACATGGCAACTCACAATTGTCTAATTCCAGTTCCAGGGGATCTAACACTCTCACACAGACATATATGAAAACAAAACACCAATGCACATAAATATTTTTGAAGAGGAAAAGTGTAGAGACTTCACAGTGCATTATTTCATACAGACTTATTTGCTTTTGTTATCAAGACCACATGACACTACTATAACTTTAACCCACTAGATCAATGAGACAAGAGCTCACAGATAGACCTGTATTTGATTTTCAATAAAAACTTAAACCAAAGAATTATAAATAAATAATGCTGAGTAACTAGAAATACACACTTAAGAGGGGCTCTTAGAATTTATTATGGTGAAATAACAGGGTCATTTCATTGCAATGAGTGTTCTTAATACTTACGTTTTTTATTTTGATGTTTCCCCAGTCATCGTCCTATTTCAAAGACAAACAAAAATGTTTAACCACCTCTGCACAATTATTAAATCTGAAGCTATCTCAAATTAAGATTTACATGCCTGCCCCAAAACTAGAAGTTCAATACAGACCAGCTTGACTTGTATACATCACAAACTTCGATATCTTTAACTTAAACCTCTCTGGCTGGGCGGTGGTGGCGCAGGCCTTTAATCCCAGCACTAGGGAGGCAGAGGCAGATGGATCTCTGTGAGTTCAAGGCCAGCCAGAACTAGTTCCAGGACAGGCTCCAAAACTACAGAGAAACCCTGTCTTGAACAACAAAAAGAAAGAAATAGAGAGAAGAGAGAAAGAAAACAAACAAACTTAAACCTCTCTGATGCATTGCTCCCTTAGTTTTAAAATATAAATAATATACAGTGGAAAGAAATGGAAAATCATAAAAGTCTGGTATAGAAGATATACACAATAAATGTTAATTATTATTAATCACGGTTTTAAATTAGTATTTTCTACTATAATCCAAAGTAAACGAAAGGACACAACTCAGCACAAACTAGTTATTCAAGTCCCTGAAGGCCAAAGATAGGATTTGGGAAATAAACAAGTTCTCCTCAATATCTGTGTCTATCCTAACAAACGGGCAGACGGGCAGCTCTTCCAGAATGTCACACCAAACCCACAAAAATATTTTTCTGCTATTCTATTCTTATGTGGTATTATAAAAAAAAAAAAACTCATCGTTTTGTGGTCCCTCGTCAAAGGCTGCTAATCTTGAATTCTCACTATAGAGTTTGTGTGATCATTACAGAGGAACAAGAGGGGAAATAGCTTTTCTCTCCTTTTAAATAAGCATTTTTATCATCCCATCTCTAGGTAGAAGTTAGATAGCAATGAATTTTTTTAATGTGCATTAGTGTTTTTGCCTGTATTACATCTGGTATGAGGGGTTCCAGATCCCCTGAACTTACAGACAGTTGTGAGCTGCCATGTGGGTGCTGGAAAATGAACCCTGGTCCTCTAGAAAAATAGCAAGTATTCTTAACCACTGAGCCATCTCTCTAGCCCCGACAACAGTTAATTATTTTTCTTTTTTCCTTTTTTTTTTCTTTTTTGTTTGTTTGGTTGGTTGGTTGGTTTCATTTGGTTTTTTTTGGTTTAGTTTTTCAAGACAGAGGTTTTCTGTGTAGCCCTGGCTGTCCTGGAACTTACTCTGTAGATCAGGGCTGGCCTTGAACTCAGAGAGATCTGCCTGCCTCTGCCTCCTGAGTGCTGGTATTAAAGTAATTACTCTTAAGAGAAAAATATTTTTCTTTAAAATGTAGATTTCTTAAATTTTTTCTTTAAAATGTAGATTTCTTAAATTTTTTCTTTAAAATGTAGAAAAGGGAGGGAAAATGTATAAGTGTCCCATTATTTGAAAACCAGGGCTTTAATGAAGATGTTAAACTCAATTTCAACATTCATATACATTATAAAAATATATACTATGGTATTTAAAAAAAACAAATTACCTATACTGTTGCATTTTTATTATTCTATAGTTTATGTGTATGAGTGCATGTTTTGCATATGTGGTACCTTGGGAAGTCAGAAAAGGACATCAGATTCCCTAGAACTCTAGTCACAGACAGTTGTGAGCCCCCAGGCGGGTGGCTGAGAATCAAATCTGAGTCTTTTGTAAGGCCAACAAGAGTTCCTAACTACTAATCCATTTCTCTAGCACCTGGTTATGTATTTTTAACACATTAAAATTTTCCATCTCTGTACATGAAATTATTAAAGATATGCAAATCCATTTTATACTAGTCTACAACAAAAATAAACATCTTCATAGAAAAATTCAAACATAACTATAAGATGTCCACTATAGTCCTGACCACTGGAGGTATCTACTGAAAAAAATTTTAAATGACACTTTGCAATATTATATTTTGAAATAGACATGATGTTTCTCACATACACAACACCACTAGAACAGTTTAAACAGGAGGCAGATGCAGGCAGATCTGTGAGTTCAAAGCCAGCTTGATCTACCTGGGGAGATTCAGGCCAGTCAGGACTACATCATACGATAATGTCTCCAAAAATGTACATTAGTAATAAGCATAGTTTCTAGTATTAATTATATAAGCAGTATTAATAAAATTTTAGATCACTTTTACCTTCAGTGTCCCTCCTTTCACCATAACTTTTTGTCTGGCTGGCTGGACTCCAGTCAGTGCAAAAAGCTGGGCCTTGAACACCATTGGAGGTTCATCAGTATTCAATTCTACACCTTCAAATTTCTCCTTTCCCCATTTTACTGTAACTGTAAATAAAAACATAATTAATTTTCACTTACATACTTTTTAAATTTATAGATCTCAAATTCAGAAAATACTTAGGGAATAACTCTTATAGGTGAAAATATGCCAGGCCCTACTATTTAGGAGACAGAGACAAGCCATCTTTGTGAGGCCCAAGCCAGTCAAGACTACAGAGAGACCCTGTCTCAATCCCAACCCTCCAAGAAAAGTCAAAATATATCCTTCGTTATTTTATTTCCCAAATGAGTAATGTACATGCAACGGACCCAAAACAAAATTTTACTGGATCTAATTTGCTTTCTCATTATATAAACAAAACATGCTGAGAACACAGCTCAGTGGTACAGCATCTGCCTAGCATATAAGATGACATGAGCTAAATTTCCAGCACTGCAGGATAAAAGAGGGGAGGGAAGAAAGAGGGGAGAAGAAAGGGAGATAAGAAAGGAAGGAATGGGACAGGGAGCAGAGGGGAAAGAAGAGACTAACTTGAGAAGTTGATTGATCCATTTCACAAAATTGGTTATTAAATACCATTCAAGTATTCTAAATTATACACCAATAAATTCTGTAAATTAAGATGAACCTCTGATCCCACTGAACTATTTCCCAGAATAAAGTTCCTAACCTTCAGGATATGGTTAGCTTAAGAACCATTTAAAGCAGTGGTTCTCAACCTCCCTAATATTGCAACCCTTTAAAATAGTTCCTCATGTTGTTCTGAGCTCCCAAACATAAAATTATTTTCATTGTTAATTCATAACTGTAATTTTACTACTGCTGTAAATATCTATTTTACGCTGGTCTTAGGCAACCCCTGTGAAAGGTTGAGAACCACTTACTTAAAGCAATATACACTGCTGGAACAGTGAGTCGGAAAGACAAAAGAGATCGTGAGAAAAAAAATCTCAGCGGGCGGTGGTGGCGCACACCTTTAATCCTAGTACTTGGGAGGCAGAGGCAAGTGTAACTCTATGAGTTTGAGGTTAACCTGGTCTACAGAGCTAGTTCTAGGAAAGTCAGGGCTACACAGAGAAACCCTGCCTCCAAATAGATAGATAGATAGATAGATAGATAGATAGATAGATAGATAGATA